CCTGCAGCCATCATCTCAACTGCTGCACACACCCCAATGGAAGCTGCTAGAGTTTCAGTACTTCTTCTTGACAGCAAGATACTAGCATTTTTCAGAATTGCAGCAGGAACTTTGTCGACCCATTAGTGCACTGAAAAGTCCCTGATATCTGACCAACCATGGGGAAAGAGACCGCTGTAAGCTTCACTACAAATATCTGGGAGATTTCTGAAGACACTAGTTTCTCCAACAATCATAGGACAAGTAGTGGAAATTCTCCTGCCTTCATCTAAAAAACTATGCAATACTTATGAGCAAAGGCTCTCTCCCCACTCTTTAGCAGGCCCAAAACAAAACACTGTTTGCATATACCATTAAGGTAGGTACTTTTTACTGAAAAAACTGCCACAAAATCAGGAGTATCCACTGTCTGGAAACCATGCACGCAAGTTACCTACTATGTTTATGCTTGGGCTCAGAGAGTCATAGAGCTGATTCTCCATATCTGAAGACGTGGACTATGAAGAAACATGCAATTTCTGGTTAGATAAAGGGCAGAGGTAGAACTTTCTTGATAAACCTTGAGACTAGCAGAAGTAACAAGCAGGCCATGTAACTAAGGATGATCAGAACTAGATATGTGAAGGAACCTGTCATGGCTCAGGTGGGGTATCACCTGACACTGTCACCACTCTGGTTCCAGGCTCCTTTGAGAAGGTCCAGAGCACCCTCCCAGGCCTTTAGACCTCCCTTTTGGCCGAATAATAGGCGTGAGGACCAGGCAGAATGAACAATGAAAATAGTTTATTTTATAGGAGGTCAAACAAAGATGCAAAATAATAACAGTAAGTGGGTGAAAAGAAAAGAAATCAAATATCCTAATGCGTCTAAATATATACTGTCCCTAGCTCACTATCAAGTGGCCTTAGACTACTCACCCTTCCCTCAGAATGAGGGTTTCTTCCCCACAGCTGCCTTAGTCCATTCTGGCTCTGTTCCCTGGGAAGAAGACCAGCTTTCGCTCTTGTACCAGTTCCTATATTCCCCAGCCCTCTTCTTCCCTATTGGTCAAAATCGGCACCAAAACTTCCCAAGGCCTTCTGGGGTTTGTATGCCCAGCCTCCCTTACTGCTAGCCAGGCTCCCTGGGCCTAGTAGGCCTCTGGTGGCACAATCCAGATCATGACAGTCCCCCAAAAAAACCAGGGAAAAATCCAGGGGTAACCCCCCCAGTCCCCCCCCCCCGAGGTCCATTTTCAATTTTTCCAACAGAAAAACTAGAAATTTGGAGGAATATTTAAAAAAAAACTCCTATGAAATATATTTTCGCTTTTAGAATGAGCGAAATGCTTTAAAAGACAAGGTGGGCATGCTGTAGACATATATTGCTCTTAAACACAAGATGCATTTCTGCACCCAAAAAGATACCTGATCTTCATGCAGGCAGCATGCATGGCTTTCACTGCTTTTGTGGTCATTTTGACCTGACTCTTTAGCTTCTGGTTGACCTTTTCACCTTTCCCTCAAACCACTATGACACACATATCCACAGACTAGGTATCAAGTAGCTTATTGCCCTATGGTGCTGGAGGAGAAAAAGATCAGGAGGAGGTGGGGCAGAAACTTGCACCAAGGCCTCAGAGAAAAACTCTGAAAGTTTCACTGAAAACTGAGCTCTTCTCTAACCAGTATCTAGAGAAGGAAGGAGACAGCATCTAGCTGTGCAAATATTATCCACCCTTTGTATGACCCTTTTTTCTGACCAAATAACATATCTCCCTTATAAATAAAAGCCGAATGGTGGTGGCCAGTGTTCCCTCTAAGCTGAGTTAGTGTGAGCTAGCTCACAGTTTCTTAGCCTCCGGCTCACACATTTTTGTCTTGGCTCAGGGAGGAGGGCTCCAAAGCAAACTGATTTATGCAGCAGCCAAATGGCTCACTCACAACTTTAACGCCGGCAGCTCACCAAGTAGAATTTTTGCTCACAAGGCTCCACAGCTTAGAGGGAACATTGGTGGTGGCACTTCTCTAGAACATTCCACACGCTCCAAAATCAGTTTGCTCTCTGATCTGTCATTCAGAGGGTCTCCCTATCCACTGGCTGCTTTGCCTGAGTCCTGCCTCCAACATTCTAAACATTTTGCTGTTCCTCCCCCCCCCCTTATAACTAGTCAGAACACAGAGTTTATTTGCATATGCAGCCTCATTGGCCTTTGCCTCGGAACACAGAGGTCGTTTGCATATGCGACTTGATTGGCTTTTGCCTCTAACATTCTAAACAGTTTGCTCTTCTGAGGTAAAATGTGTCCAATCTCCAGGTGAGGGCTGGAGATCACTCAGAATTACAACTGCTTTCCAGACGGCAGAGATCAGTTCCACTGGAGAAAATGGTGGGCTCTGTACCCTTATATGCTGGTGAGGTGGCCCCCATATGACAGCCAATGTGACGTTAGCAGTCAGGGCTTCAGAGCACGGGAGAGGCTGCAGGTGTGTGGGGGGTGGAAAGCTGAAGAGTGAGGGGGAAATAAAGGTAGGTTGATGATTGGCTGGGAAGGAGATAGGGTTGCCAACTCCAGGTGGGAAATTCCTGGAGATGTGAGGGATGGAGCCTGGAGAGGGTGAGGTTTCAGGAGGCGTGGGACCTCGGACAGGTACAAAGCCATAGACTCCACCCTCCAAACCAACTATTCCCTTCTGTCCTGGGGAACCATCATTGCCAATCTCCAGGTGAGGGCTGGAGATGACTCAAAATTACAACTGTTCTTCAGGTAGCAGGGATCAGTTCCTCTGGAGAAAATGGTGGACTCAGTGTCATTATACCCTGCTGAGGTCACCACAGCAAATTGACACTGAGTGTCCAAGGCCAGGGCACCCGCCCAGAGCCTCTTTCTAGAGGCCGTTGTATTTATTTCCACAACAGACCTTTTTCCTAGTTTAACATAAAGTTTGTGTTCTCTGTTTAACTCTTTTCCCCCTGCTTTTCAGAAAGCAAAAAATAAGGTATATGGGCTAAGGTAGGATAAGGTTCATCAGCTTGAGGTTTTCTCTTTAAGTATAGAATATATTTACACCTTACCATGCAGAAAGCTAAGACATTTATAACTTTTAAATTCCATAACTATTTCAAATATTGCAATTTTATATGCTAAGCTATAAATGATGCACTGTCATTAAAGAAGCAAAATTGTTTGATAGGATAGCAGGTATTGCATGCATTTAATTTTTCCCCCAAACTCCCTTTTTGTTTCTGGAAACAACATTTCCCCCCTTTGCTTCAAGATTTGGGGGAATTTTACATCTCTAGTTAGAAGCGCGTTTTAGGTTCCATTTGGAATTTCTCAGATCTGAGCTGTTAAGACAAATTAGGGATGGCTTGAATTATTACATGAAGTAATTTTCCCATCCTTCCTGCAAGAGCTTTTGATGGCATACCTCCCCTCCTCCTCATCTTCACTGCAACTCTGAGGTAGGTTAGTTTGAAGGAGAATGAGTTAATTAAATGACAAATTGGGATCTGAACCTAAATATCCCTGGATCTAGTCCAGCACTAGACACCATACCACACACTGGATCTGCTTATGTCACCTACAGCAATACTCACACTGATCAAAATATACTACCCATTTTATGGCTGTGACTGATACTTTAAAAAAATACACCAACCCCAAATGCTGAAGCACTACAGAGCAGATGTACTTAAGTCAGCGTAAATACAGAGCAAGGTATCACTTATATTTTAAGTTACAGCAGCATTTACTTTTCGACTCACAAAACACACACTACCAAGCTTTTTCCGGGGGGAAACTCCAAGTGAATGGCAATGTTCAGAGTGTATACACTCAGATAAACACATGCGCAGCTTGATCCTATGTAAGGGCCTATCATTCTTTCCACCAACCACCCAAACTTTCTCATTAAAAAAAACACCGCAGTACAAAATGTAATCTAAATGGAGAAACAAAACTTCTGGATTATTCTCCTACAAGGAATAAAAATTATATTTAGTTGTAATTTAACGTAATTGTTATTTTATCCATATTCATAATTGGTTGCTTAGCAAACAACTGAAGAACAAATAAACAAAAATTCAACCCATGATTTCGAACCTGGGTATTCTGCTCACAGAGATGAGGTAGAGGCATTTCATCAATGTAGAAGGATAATTTAAAAGAACTATCCCGTCACTGCAGAAAATTATTGATACCAGTGTTTTACATATATAAAACATTCTTCCTAAAGTAAAAGTTAACCCACCTGAACTAGAGACACGTGCAACAGGCATACCTGCCCTTTCTTCAAAACTATTTCAAACTATCTCACCAGCCAGATAACTCTTCATCCTTGCAAAAGCCTTGTTCGGGTCCTCAAGAATAATAATTAATATAATTTAACCGGACAAACTTAACCAGGAGCAACAGTACTCAACAGAAAAATCAACAGTGCCTGGAGTTCTAATATGTATACTATCCCGGAGCAGTAGGTGCTGTTTCTCACTCCCCCATAGATCTACAAGAAAACATCTTTATTGCAGGCCAAACTACTCGCTTTCAACAGTACATTTGGCAGCTGGTTCCTGAAGGCACCCCAGGGCTCTTTTGCCTCAACAAACAACAGCTAGTCTTGCAGCATTCTGCGGCCCCAACTACTTTCAACGAACACAAACAACATGCTCGCTACAAATCTTACACACTTAGTAGACAAGCGCGCACAGCATTACGCTGCGTAAATTCTGCCACCGAACCTTTTGCTTGCATTGGTGCCGGGGAGGGCGAGCACGGGGAGCAAAGAAGAGCACGGTCCCGGGTCTGGAAACTTTACTCACTACCCCGACAAGAGCGTTCCCTCAACACGCGTCTGGGACCCCAAAGAGCTCGTTTAAACTCCTCCAGAAACAGGTTCAGGAGGAAAAGAGAAAGCTTCCGGGAGGGCCTCCCCCACCCCCCGGGCCGCCTATAAACCCAGCCCTACGAGGCGGGAGTGACAAGACAGAGCCGAAGCGGCCTCCTCCAGTGTGAGCCCTACCTGCAGGGTGGTGATGTGCTTATCATTGAACTTGTTCTCGCAGTAGCGGAGGACCAGCGACGTCTTCCCCACACAGCCCTCGCCAAGCAGTACCACCTTGAAGGAGAAGTTTCGCCCGGCCGTGCCGCCGCCGCCGCCGCTTCCTGCGCCAGAAGTCGCCGCTGCCGTCGCCATCCGCAGCGAAGTCGCCGCCGCTCCCGCGGCCTCACATCAGCGACAGCCGCCCCCCGCCCCAACTCCGACACGGGACGCGGAAGAAGGCCTCATCCAAGGGGAAAGTGAGGGAGGCCGCAGCACAGACGCACACCGGGGGGAAGAGAAACACAAACACACTTCCCTCTACCGGGTTCGCTCACCCCACCCGCCCCACTCTAATGGCGCCTCCGTCTTCCTCCTACGTCACGCGGCGCGCTGTCACGTGACACGCCAGTCGTTTGTTTAAAGTCCTTCCCCCAAACCGAAGAATGCAAAGCGCGGGCGGCTTTCTTAAATTTCTGGAAGCGATAAAGAGGCGGGGCAAATTTTCCGGAACACACGTGATAGGACGCGAGAGGAGGGCGTGACTTGTCACTCTCGGTTTTCCCCTTTCCGGGTGTGCTTAAGCGCTTTCACAGTCCTGGGAAAGGAAGGGTCCCCGTCGTCGTCGGGACGCGGAGGAGCAGTCCAGACTCCAGACCAATGTGCCCTCTAAGCTGTGGAGTCTTCTGAGCACGAATTCTTCTCTGTGAGCTTCTGGCATTAAAGTTGTGAGCGACAGTTTGTTAAAGAAAACCCTGGGAATCACCAAGCACCTGCTTCGTATGACAAGCCATGAGCCTATAATCCCTTATGGCGCTTCTAGACATGCAGTGATATAGCACTGGGCATTGTTGTTCCACTCAAAGTTCAGTCTGTGCATTAAATTTTCCTTCTCCAACTGGAACCTGAATCTGAGCATCCCATAGGATGAAGGCATAACGCTTAGGGACAACACTGTAGTAATTGTTTTATGTGTTGCAGAATCTTTAAGATCCTAGATGGGTTAATAAAAAGCTGTTAGCATGGCAACCAAGGCAAGGACACGGTAGTTATCTAGCATTAAATAAATTAATATTGCACTCCAAATTCATGGAGGCTTGTCTGATGCCAGTAACAGGAGTTCTGGGATAAGATTTGGAGGGATGAGAGTTTTCTGGAAAATAATAGGCATGCTTTTAAACCACTGAGGCATGTGGGATGAACTGCCTAAGGATGAAAATTGGGTGGGGGAGGGTCAGCTCCCAAAGTCAGCCTCCTGCATTCTTTTGTTTCCTGAGTGAGTTATTTGTAAAAATGGGGGGGAGGGGTGTGAATGAGTTGAAATGTTTCTGGGCATGTGTGTTGGAAGAGGATGCCATGGTATTTATGTTAATCACCTTGTGTCTCTTGACACTAAATGTGGAGCAGCACTTTTCTGTGTTATAGCAGATGTGTTCTTATGTATTCTTTACAATTCTGCCTTTTTTCTTTAAATGACTTGAAGATAGATTTCAGAGAAATTAAACACTGTTTATTTAAAAAAAAAAAGTTGTGAGCGAGCGATTTGGCTACTGCATAAATTAGTTTGCTCTGGAGCCATCTCTTCCTGAGCTAAGACAAAAATATGTGAGCTGGAAGCTAAAAAAACTGTGAGCTAGCTCACACTAACTCAGCTTAGAGGGAACACTGGTCCAGACTCCCACCCTCTGAAAGTTCTTCCCATGACGTCCATGGGATTTACTTCCAGGTAAGACTACAGGGACTGTGGTCCAGAAGCAAAGCGGAAAGATTGTTTTCTGCCTCAGACACAAGTCCTCCCCCAAACACACACATACTAACTCTTTGCATTGGCTGTAGGGATTGTTGTCAGACCTGAGGAAAGTGAGACCCTTTGGCTTTCGCACCTAAAGCTCAGACCAACTGCAAATAGGGAAAGTAATGTAATGCGTTTTATTAGGATTGTACACCCCCTTTTTAAAATCCAGCTTGATGAAGAGTAAGGGAATCCAAAAGCTTGTACACCTGCCTACACGTGATAGGTGCTTTTGAATTCTATGACTTAACCTGCAATGTATAACAAGCAGGGAGACTAATTTTCAACTGGTTCACGAGTTAGTTCTTTATTTAGCAACTAGGATTATAAAGGTATGACGAAAACAAAATTTGGATCCAGTATTCGACTGGCTTTCGAGCAAGGGAAAATACAGGTTGCTTACCTGTAACTGGTGATCTTCGAGTGGTCATCTGTGCATTCACACCCATGGGATTCAGTGCGCATGCGCTGGATCGGCATTGTAGCAAGCTCTTAATGGATTTTCGCGCCCAGACCTCGGGCATGCGCGGGAACACCACCACACATGCCCAGAGGGGTGAGCGCAGACATCCCGCCAGTTCCTTCGAACCGCCGCGAATCAACCCCTATGGAAAATGTAGAAGCTGACAGCAGCGGAGAAGGAGGGCGGGTGGTGTGAATGCACAGATGACCATTGTTTATCTTCGACGTGGTCTCTGTGCTTCACACCCATGGGAGATTAGCGAGCAGTGGCTTACCTGGAGGAGGGTGCTGGCAGGTCCTTACTGCGAAGCCAAGGATAAGATGTGACGTCTATGTTGGTATAAGAGTTCTTTCGGACGTCTAGGGCGTAGTGCCTTATGAACGTGTTAGGCGTAGCCCACGTAGCAGGTCTGCAAATGTCCATCAGTGGAACTCCCTGGAGGAAGGCAGTTGAGGCTGCAACAGCTCTGGTTGAATGAGCCCTGATAGGGCCAGGCAATGGCTGCTTGGCGATAAGGTAGCAGAGGCAGATGAGACCCGCAATCCATCTTGATACACGCTGAGTCGTGAAGCGAATCCCCAGCCTTGCTGGCACATAAGAGACAAAAAGTTGAGAGTCACGTCTCGTTGGATGGGTTCTATCTAAGTAAAACAGGAGCGCACGCTTCGTATCCAGTGTGTGTAACAGCCTCTCCTCTGGGGATGTCGGAGCCAGGAAGAAATCCGGGAGGAAGACCTCTGCCTGTAGGTGAAATTCTGACACTATCTTTGGCAGGTACAAGGTGTACGCCGTCTGGCAAAAAAGACAAGTAAGGAGTGTCATGTCTGAAAGCCGGTATTTCTCCGACTCACCTTGCTGAAGTGACAGCAACCAGAAAGGCCGTTTTCCACGACAGGAATTTTATGTCGCAAGTTGCGAGCGGCTCAAAAGGTTTCCTGGTAACGACAGGAGTTTTGATGGGAGGTTAAAGGTGCAACAGTCCCTTCAAAAAGCGTTTTGAAAGTGGATGCGAGAACAGTGTGCATCCTTCAACTTGAACATGGTAGGCCGAAAGTGCAGCCAAATAAACCTATAACAAGGAATGTGAAAGTCCCGAGTCAGCGAGAGACAGGAGGAATTCGAAAACTTTCTCGAGACCTGCGGAGGTGGCTCGAGGGGCATTGTCACCCAAAGAGGAACAGAATTTTTGCAACTTGTAAAGATAGGACTTTCGCGTAGTGGACTTTCTGGAGTTTAGCAAGACATTTGCTATGCGGGCAGAAAAGCTGTTGATGCCACTCTCCAGGCTGTCAACTTCATTCGTGGCGCGTCGTGGTACAGGAGAGGGGACTCGGTTAGGAACAGGAGATCTTGTGCTGGAGGAAACTGGTGGTAGTTCCTCGCTGACAGGTTGAGGATGGTTGAGAACCATGGTTGCCTCGACCACCACGGGGTTATGAGGACGCAGTCCGCTGTGTCGCTGATGATTTTGAGGACCACTCTCAGGAGCAAAGGCAGTGGAGGGAAGAGGTAGAGAAATCCTCTGGATCACGGATAGAGGAGACCGTCCCCTAGAGACTGTGGGTCCCTGCCACCTCGGGTACAGAACAGAGGGCACTTTTTGTTCGCCCTGGTGGCAAAAACATCTATTTGGGGGAACCCCCACCTGCGGAAGAGTGGAAGAAGGCACATTGGATTCATTTCCCACTCGTGGAGACTGAGTCCTGCCCAACTCAGGTGGTCTGCCTGTACATTCATGTGCCCTGGGATGTGCGTGGCGACTAGGAAGATGTTGTGGGCGATGCAGAAGTCCCATAACTGGAGGGTGAGGTGGCAGAGGCATTGGGATACAGTGCCCCCTTGCTTGTTCACATAACTGAAGGCAGTATTATTGTCCGTGAGGACCATGACACATTTTCCCTCGATCAGAGGTAGGAAACTGGTGACAGCGAACTGTATTGCAAGCAGTTCCAGGAAAATTATGGGCCGATTTCGTTTCTGAGTGTCCCATCTGCCTCCGACACAAAGTCCCATCATGTGGACGCCCCAGTCCGAGAGGGAGGCGTCTGTCGTTAGGGTCATTTGGGGTGATGGAGGATAAAAGGGTGCTCCCTGGAATAGGTTGGAAGGGACAGTACACCAAAGTAAAGAGTCCCGTATTTTGACAGGTGGGAATAGGTGGGTGGTGTGTGTGTCCCTCTCTGGATTGAAATTGCGGATAACCCATAATTGTAGATGACGCATTCTTAATTTGGCAAAAACCAGGACTGATGTAGTAGCGGCCAAAATGCCAAGTAGCCTTTGTATTTGAAATGCTGTCACTATTTTCTGCACCGGTTGAAGTTGAGACTTTTCCAGATTGACTTGTAGACCCAGGTTTTCCAGGAGGACCAGTGTCTCATTGATGTTTGAGACTAGGGCATCCCTGGAAGTCGCTACCAAGAGCCAATCATTGATGTACGGGTAGATGGAGATACCCTTGAGACGAAAGAAGGCCACGACCACCACCATCGTCTTTGTGAAGACTCTTGGTGCACTTGAAAGGCCGAATGGCAGGGCTGCATATTGGTAATAATGTTGACCAATTGCAAAGCATAGGTATTGGCGGTGGGACGGGTGGATGGTGAGGTGGAAGTACGGATCTTGGAGGTTGAGGGTGGCCATCCACACGTTTTTCTGGAGGAGTGGCAGAATCTACTGTAAAGACACCATGCGAAAGCGGTGTTAGCTCACAAAGCGCTTCAGCGCCCGTAGATCTAAGATCGGTTGAACACCTCTGTCCCGCTTCGGAACAGTAAAATAGTGGGAGTAGAATCCCTTGCCCTGTAGACGCAGGGGCATCGGGTCGATGGCTCCTTTTTGCAGAAGGACGGACACTTCTTCCAGGATGGCTGGAGAAGGGGGTGTGGAGATGAAGACAGGAGTGATAGGGTTCTGAATGAATTCTATGCGGCAGCCCCGGGTTAAGATGGACAGCACCCATTCGTCTTAGTAAGCCTTTCTCACAAAGGGTACTGCTACCTACTCATACACGCTAAATAATTGGTGGTCTTTACTCCTAGTGCTCCCGTAGAGTAGAAACATCAGCCGAAGGACGAGAAGGTAGCTAATGTCACTCCCATCTTTAAAAAGGGTTCCAGAGGAAATCCGGGAAATTACAGGCCAGTCAGTCTGACGTCGATACCGGGTACATTGGTGGAAACCATTATTAAG